ACCCTAGCTCTTACTACAATCCAACTGAATCATAAATGCACAAATCAAAATGTCAGTACTGCACTATACTTGCTTCATAAAAAAAATTGACTTAAAATGGTGGTTTCAAAAGGTGAAAAACGCACAAAGGCCTGATATAACTCGAATTAAACTATCTCAACATATTTAAAATAAAGAAGGATATACTTTTGATGAGCTATGCATCAAGAGAGAATCTATAGAGGGAGAACACAAGTTTTTTGCAAAATCTTTGGGAACATTAATCGTTTTTGCCATTTCAAAGGGAAAAAACAAGTACTGTCAAGTTCCTTTGTGAATAAGCAAGAGAAATACACTGTGGAAGGAGTGCAAAATCTTGGAGACAAAGCAGTGATGTGTCATGGGCTCAATTTCCAAACGGTGGTGTTTTACTGTCATGAAGTCTGCGGAACATCAGCTTTCATGGTTTCACTTGTGGCTGCTGATGGAACCCAAACTCAGGCACTTGCTATTTGCCACTCAGATACTTCAGGCATGAATCATCAAATGCTTCATCAAATTATGGGAGTTGATCCTGGAACTAACCCTGTTTGCCATTTCCTTGGCACCAAAGAAATTTTATGGGTACCCAATTTAGCTGTGGACACTGCCTATCAGAAAGAAGTTGTTCTTTAGTCCATCTTCGATCCGCACCAGGAGTTTGAGTTTGTCTTTGTCTGTAAAGTTTAGTATTGTGTGTATGTTTGTTCTACCTATGTGTACCTTAAACCTCGTCATTATGCTATCAATGCAGCTGTTGATGATGATGGTTGGATGCAATAAATATGGTGTTCTATGAATTTCATTAGTATGCCATTTAATGTCTAGTTAATTATAACTTCCTGTACTATGTCCATTAATGATAAGATGCCACAGGTACATACATAAGATTTGGTTAAGAATATGCATATTGGAGGGCACATAACCATTGGAAGAAAAATATTTAATTTTCCATTTAATCAATGTGTAATATTTAATAAACTTCACACGACCGATAAAATACTTACTGCGAACCATGTATTCTACTTTTAATTCAATTTCACCATTAAATATTGATGAAGCTTAAGTCTTTTAATTCAATTCATTAAAACGTTATCTGTTTTATGATCTTTATGCATAATTCCCATTGTTGCATATTGTGAAGATAGAATCTTTAGAGTAACTCCACTTGTAATTTAAAAGATTTAGAAATCTACTTTGACTAAAAATCTGTCAAATTCATCAAATGTTGTTATTTTCACCAAGTTTCTTGTCATTTAAGTTTTCAGTGACGCCAAACAAATTACTTTTACAAGCCGGTTTTATAGGAAGTGTTAATTAGTCATTTGAATCCACGTTCTTATCCATTCTTACTAGTTTTTCTTACATTTTTTTTCTTTAAAAAGGTTATGCTAGCCATCATTATATACTTTGGCATCTTAGATACGTTGATATTCCAATATACATCTATCATTTACTATCAGATGAAAAAGATTATTAAAAGAACAAAATAAACCAGAAGGTCAAACCAAACCCATGAACAAAAATTACAACCAAACTTCCTAAAAAGGCTAAAATTTTCTAGAGATAGGAAGTTGATATCTGTCATGAAAAAAATATCTGAATTGATAACAGATTAAGTGTTCCATTAAAAATATTTCCTATTATCCAAGTATAAATTAGTCAATTTATTAGCATAATTACTGTCTTCCCTAAAAATGAGGCAAATAGTGCACTAGCGAGGCTCTAACATGGTAAGACTTATATCATTGGTAGAAGAAAACAGGTGCTTGGTAGAGGACTCTGCTCCAAGAAAAATTTTCTCCTTCTCCATAAGGAAACCAGGCTCCTTAGGTTGAGGTAGGGAACTCTCACTGCTCAGCATCACTACCACAGTGGACATACTTGGCCTATCCTCAGGAAACTGTTGAACACATAAAAGACTGATATGGATACAACGCAATGCTCCTGACAGAACAGATGAATTCTCCATGCATGAATCAAGTAAGTCCAGAGGTCTTCTTTCTTTCCAAAATCTCCATGCCTAAACAGTGTAACAGACATGTCATTACCAATATTTATTGCTTGTAAAGAAAAAAAGAAACATGTCCTTTTTAGTTTCACACTTACTTGTCCAATAAGGTTAATACTATTATTTGAATGTGAAAAACCTCTGTTCTTCTTTCCACTTACTATCTCTAGCATTAGTACACCAAAGCTGAAGACATCAGATTTCACCGAGAATAGACCATAAATGGCATATTCGGGTGCCATGTAACCACTGAACAAAATCATTAAAAGTATGGTTTAGAAGTTCAGAACAACACTGTGTAGTGGTAGATGCAGATTGCAAATTATGTTGAGATATTGACTTACTATGTTCCAACCACCCTTTTTGTATTTCCTTCAATCTGATCTCCCCCAAAAGTTCTAGCCATGCCAAAATCAGATATTTTTGGGTTGAACTCATGATCAAGTAGAACATTACTTGCTTTGAGATCTCTGTGTATAATTCTCAATCTGGAATCTTGATGAAGATACAGAAGTCCTCGCGCAACTCCACAAATAATATTGAAGCGTTTAGACCAATCTAAAATTTTAGCCTTTGCCTGATCTGCCAGATTAATAACATTGCTAACTCATTCACTGGAAACTTAAAGAAATATTTGAAAATATAACAGGAAAGAGTTTTGTGAAAGAGAAACTGGAGGAGGAAAAATTCTAGAAGAAAATGAAAATTAAATTGAAAAAGAAGTCGAGAGATTAGAACCAAATATAAAGGAGTCAAGGCTTTTGTTGGGCATGTATTCATAGATAAGCATCTTCTCCTCTCCTTCAATGCAACAACCAACAAGCTTAACTAGGTTCCGATGCTGCAGTTTGGCTATCAATATGACCTCATTCTTAAATTCATTAAACCCTTGTCCAGAACTTTGTGAGAGTCTTTTCACAGCAATTTCCTGCCCATCTGCTAGGGTACCCTATAGTGTCACACACATAGGCCACATATTAATATAGTTAATAAGATGAATTCTGGGATTTTATGTTGAATCAGGGAAGTATACTGCATAATTACCATATATACTGTCCCAAATCCACCTTCTCCAAGCTTATTGTTAATTGAGAAGCCATTAGTTGCTTTGGTGATTGCAGCTTGATCAAAGAAAGGAAGCTCAAGCTCTTCCTCATCTTTATTATTATCTACTATCAAGGAATTACTTGATTCACAAGCTGTAAAGATAATATTCCGTTAAATTCAGAACCGGCAAATTATCCATATTTTTTTACTCCACTGATAGAATTGAAAATATATGTTTCTTTCTGTGTTGTGAGGGGATGTTTAAACTCTTGTAGGCTCTTGCATATGAAGGTTTAGTAGAGTTTGACTAGCCAAACCTGTTGTGCATTGTGATTTGGTTGTAAATATAATCAAAGAGGTGAAGAAAATGTCATGCATGGCTTTAATACCCGGGCCACCAAATAATAATAATAGTATATAAAATTTTAAATGCATTAATTAAAATATATAAGAAAAATTGATATTCTTGTTGTGTATATGACTGGCAAGTCCTTGAAATAAATACAAGAGTAAGGAAGCTACCTCTGAACTTTTTCATTCTCTTTCCAAATTGGTACAAAAGCAGAATGGCTGCAACGACTGCGACTGTTGTGAGGACTACTGCCACCACCTTCATGCTATAGTTTTTTTTCTCACCTTCATGATTTATATAGAATTGAGAGACCAGAGTAAATTCTGAATCATTGAAAACTATTAAAATTGTGACAAAAGCAGAGCAAGTTCAGTAAAGTAAATATACTATATCCTGTGAGAGATTGAGTCAAGACCTTACCTGATTCTAAAATTTTAGTTCTAATATATAAATCCCAACCACCAGCAGAAAATTCTCTGATATCCCTGAGATCACCAAACCACATCAAACAGCCCTTACCTCCTTCTCTAACATCTGTATTTGCATAAGCTTTACAGGAACAATTCTCCAAGCATTTATCCCTGCACTCAGTGAGACTCATACTCTCATTGACCCAAGAATTTGAAGTATCTGGAGCTTTCAGCTGACTGACTTTAACAAACCCATGTTTCCTCCTTTGCTCACAGTTCCATTCTTCAGAGAGAAAACATCCTTGAGTCCAGTCCATCATGTCCCACTGCCTCGGAAATCTTGGTTTAAATCCACTTAAACACTGGCACACTGGAGAATCACCAATTACGCAATTCCCATTTTGTCCACAGATATTGTAGGAATCACAGTTATCTCTCGGTACAGATGCATAAATCCTCCAAGCTTGAGCATCTTCAATCCATATGTACCTTTGGCGAGTGGAAATAGATTGGTTCATAACAATCCTTGAAATGATAGACTCATTCGTGAGGCTGTAGGTGTAGTACACCTCATTTTCGTTGGAAACAAACTTGAACTTAAAAACTGGATTTGCCTTCAATTCTGGGGCACCACTGAATCCAAGACCATTCCAATGACCACCACGGTAAAACACCTTTGACCCCTTCCACATCATCACTTGAGGAAATCCTTCGAGAGAGATACCCCAACTGAAATCACCTGGTGATGGATCATCCCAATTCTTCCAAGCAGATACACGCCGCTCAAGGCCGGTTCTTAAGTCCCATCCCAGCTTCATTCCTGGTAAAAGTGTATCAGAAGGGTAATCAAAGCTTTGCCACAAGTAGCTTTCAGGATCTTGGTCTCCTTCATCTCTCACTACCAAATTTCCAGAATTTAACAGCTGGACAATGGGATTCTGAACCTTCTTTGTGGAGTTTGCTGACCAAGCCACAACCCCATTATGGTTGACAAGCTCAAGATTTCCCTCACTGTTAATATGCAACACACTTGAGTTGCCTTTTACTGGCTTGGCTCTGTTGGCAACCCACACAACAGTCTTCACAGGTATTGACTTGTACCATATCCCCAAGTAAAGATCTGCAGCACGTCCTGGACGGAAGAAACCCAATTCAAAAGTACCCTCTTCAGAAACCAATGTATTGCCTACAGAAAGTGATTTAAATTGGGATATAGAGTCATTTGCAGTGGAGGTGCAGAAAAAGAACAGTAGAATCATAGTAAGAACAAACATTAGAACAACTTTTTTCATCGCTTGACACTCTCGAAGCTCTGTGCTTTCACTGAACCAGAGTTTTTCTGTGTCCGGACAGCAAAGAGGAGAATAAGAGTTACACCATGAAGCTCACGGTTTTAACGTTGGATTTCTGTAACTGCTGGCGTTGAGTGAAAAAAAAAAGAACATGAAATCGGTAACGGCTGATACTAAATTCCTCAATTTCTGGCATGGCCAAACTTCTTTTTTTCCTATTAGTGATTAGGTTTATAAGTTTCTTAGCTGGAGAAAACGTCTCTCAAAAATATAGTATTACGTTGAAACCGAAACAAACGTGAATACAAACACATTTTCTGAAGTTTGTGTCAAATTTTTCTTTGGACAAGTTTGACCTGTATTAGGTAGACATGAATATAAGGTTACCTCTTTTGTTGGTCCTCGTGTCTCATCAATGTCGAATGTCTAAGGTTGTTTTATGCTGATATTAGATATTACAATGAATGAACAAACGTTTTGTATTCAACTCTCTTTTTTGTATTTGAGTTATAATAATTGATAGCTTTTTGAAGAGTTGAATTAGGAGAAAAGTTACTTATAGACTGATTAAGTTGTAGTTGGAACGAAAACTTAAAATATGTGGGACTGATACCATTAAGTACCAGGTAATGAATTAGTCTTTTGGGTAAAAGAGCTCCTAAAATTGTAGCGAAGCAGTAGTGGATGTTCCTTAAAACCTTGCAAGTCGGTAACCTTGTAGTGTAACTAGCTTAAGGTGAAAATCAGTATCCATGACACAGAAATTTGACACTTTTTCCTCTTTCCTAGATTCGTGATATTGTCTCTATGCTTCCTTGCATTCATGCTTGAAGGCGAAAGCAATAGTTCCTTCAAGAAAGCAACGGCTTATCAGGTAAACACATCTGTGCAACTTCCAGAAGCTAATGCATGAAACATGCTCCAAAAACTTGTCAAGTCTATGCCCTCAAACTTGTGGTCAAGCAAGGGTCTATTTGATTAGCTAGAGTTCACACACTCTCTTTTGATTCCTCTGCACCATACATAGTTTTGAAAACGATATTTCACCTAAAGTTGAATATTGAGTAATGACGAGTGGAAAAAGACTTGCATCTTGGTGCTTTAATTCATCCAAGTCTTCACGACTTTATTATCTTTTCTAAGCCAATTAAGTTTAACCCTTTTTAGGCAGCCGACAATTTGGACTAATTCACAACTCGTTCAGAATTAGAGTCTGTTCAAGGCAGGGATAAGACGGCAGAATTCAATCATCAATTTTTCAGAACAAAAAATAAAAAAAAAGATTGATTTTTTTTAAAGAAGCATAAGAGAGGTTAACCAGCATCTGTGCATAATAATTGAAAAACTGATAAATATACGGGAAGTATCAAATGAAGCACTTCTGCCATTTCATTTTCCTTTCATTTCCTTACAAAAGTATATGGGAAATTGCCCAAAATGAAAAATGAATTAAAAGGGGAAAAAAATTAGAAGTAATCTTTGAGTTCTTGTTGAAGGACCTGCTCCAACCACAACTTTGAGCCTTCCATGAGTTCAGGACTGAGTCTGAACATCAAAACACAGAACTCCAACTGATTGAGCGCCCCATCACCGTCAAAGTCACCTTCTACAAGCATCGAGCGAAGATCCTCATCACTGAGGCCCTGAAGGCCAAGAAGGGCAGAATTTCTCTTGAGGCTGTCAAAGGTGATAACCCCTTTTTCTGAATCCTTCAAAAGATTGAAGCCATTGCATAGTTCATCGATTAGGCCGTCCCCACCAAGCTTGTTGGCCATCACAGGCAAACAATCTTGGAACTGGGTTTGGGAGTTTTGTGCTGCCATAGCGGTGAATTGGAGTTGGGTGAGTAAAAAGAGAGAACAAAGATCAATGATGAAAGAGAGAAACAATGGAAATTGATGAATTGATGAGATAATGAGGATGATGAAGGGAACATGATAGTATATAAAGATGAAGAAGGGAAGAGAGAGGAATGTGGAATGGGATCTTCCGAGAAGGAGAAGGCATAGATAGATACATCGAAGACAACTAAGCAACAGAGAGGAACAAACTCGGTCAGACACACACAAACACACACGGTTTACTTTGGAGTGGACTTTCGTGGAAGTTAAAAGAAGGATAGAACCGTCCACTACAAATAGTACTTCTACTATTATTATAGAAAAATAATGCACTTTCATAATTTCATGGTCTCACTTTTTTTTGAATATAAATGTTATCAAGACTTAATTGATTAATAGAAAATCTTTCATTTGAATACATTTTTTAAATTACAAAATAATTATTAAATAACAGTTTATATTTATTAAAATTAGGAGGTTTTAATAAACTTTATAACTGTTTTAAACTTAAATGTAAATGAATTTTCTAATTCATTTTTATTAAGATTGTTAGTTAATTTAATTTGTTTATTTTATAAAAATATATTCTTCAAATTGGGAAATTATTTTATACTAGATATGTTTAAATTCGAGTTTAAATTTATTTTTAAATAATAATATTAAATAAAATTGAGCTAGCTATTTTTTTTATATTAACTTTAGCATGAGTATTTTTATATATTGGTGTCTAGAAGAAAGAAACCACTCAAGTAATAGAAAGAGTTTTCAAAGTTTTTTTTTTCTTGTTAACTAGTGATTTTAGGAAGCTAGCTAAGAAATTAAAAATTAAATAGAAACACACTAAAAATCATAAAAAAAAAATTCATTCTATGTACTTTAATGGTTTAACAAATATGATTTTAAAAGTTTTAACTCATATCCTGGCAGTGGCTCTTGTTAGCATTTACTTCTTTCTCTCCTTTTAAGTTCTGGTCTCCTTTGACTGTTGACTGCGGCTGCGTCAACGAAGGAAATTTTTACGATATATGAGTTTAAGGTCTACGTCATGTCATACGATATATTTGTTTTAATTATTTAATGTTTTTTAAATTAAATATGTAATAAATTATAAGATTTTAATGGAAATATTTAAAATATACGTATTTTTATTACGTCACTGTGATCCATAACATATTTTTATATTTTTTTCTGATATTTTAATTTATTTTTCATAAAATGACAATGTATTATGTTAGATTGATAAGACAAAACTAATAAATATTCCAGTTTATATGGAACTCTTTAAACTTAATATATATAGATTTTTTTTATTCAGTATAAATTAAAAGTAAATATATATATATTAAGTAATAAAAAAAACCAATTATGTATAAAATATTTAAATTTTATTTAATTTTAAATTATCATTTATCCAAGTATAATGTATTTCATACAATATTGGATAACAAATATATTAAGCCTGAGCCCAAATGGTGTGCAAATAGAAAAGGCCCAGTGGGCGGCCCATGTCCTGGCTGAGGTGTATAAGACAAACGTGCAGTACGTGTCATATCATATCTCCCACGCGAATGAAAATAGAGAGAGGACGGGAGCATCTCCAGAAGCTTCTCTTGTGGTCGAAGCGAGATCAACAATGGGCGGTGTCGGTGAAAGTGGCCTTTGGAGGCCTCGGATGGAGACGCCAGAGAAGAGAAAAGAGGAGGCTCAAGGAGACAAGAAGTAAAACGTGAACTTTATTTCTTCTGATTGTTTCTTACAATTGCAAAATGTATCTCTCTTTTTCCTTCTGTAAAACACAAAGCATGAACTCTATTTATAGATTCTGATCTAACGAAAACAGAAACAATAATGAAAGCATAATCCCTAAACAAAACCATTGAAAGAGACCAAAAAGGGTTTTGGGCATTCTGTAGTGATGAAAACTACAGATATGTCTTTAATAGCCTACCTCAAACTGGATGGTGTATGGTTCCCAATACCAAGTTGGGAACAATAGATCTGTATTTGACGCGGTGAGGAAACTTCGTGAAGATGTCTGCAAGCTGCTTCGGATCGCACTGGAAGAAGAGTGAGAAGACCTTCCTGAAGTTTTTCACGAACAACATGGCAGTAAGCTCAATGTTTGGTGCTTCGTGAAAGCTCTGATTGTGAGCTATGTGTCTCGCAGATTTATTGTCACAATATAGAGCAGGAGTCCCTGATTCCTGATTTGAAAGTCACGTAGCAAATAGCAGAGCCACTGTATTTCACATACAGTGGCTGCTAATGCTCTGTATTCTGCCTCTGTAGATGATCGGGAAAACGGTCTTCTGCTTTAGGACTTCCATGAAACAAGAGTGATCCTAGGAAAATACAGAATCCCGTTGTGGATCTTCTAGTTTTGGGACAAGTGGCCCATCAGAGTCACTAAAAGCTTTGAGCTGCATAGGAATTTAATGGAGAAACATCCTTCAGATTGGCTTGGTTTTAATGTACCTTAGTAGTGTTGGATTGGCAAGGTCGTGGATAGTAGTGGGTGATCGTTGGGGTGACTCGCAGTAAATTGCTGAGTAGTTGACAGAGAAAACATAGCATCAGGTAGAGTGTTGGTGAGGGATAGAGGAGTTTACCTATTAGTCTTCTATATGGTCCTGGATCTTCCCAAATAGCTGTCCTCCGGTATAATGAGGTTGATCTCACGAGAAAGGAGTAGAGGATGGCTTGCCACCCCTAACAGCCCTGTCTCTTCAGTATGTCCAAAGCATATATTTTCTTGGCCACAAATTGAATGCCTTCTTTGCCCTGGCAACTTCCAACCCAGAAAAATATTGAGATCACCAAGGTCTTTATCAAGAACTCTTTGTGTAAGAGTTTCTTTCATGGCAGTTTAATTTCGTGCCATAGAAGTCCCGTCAAAAACAATATCATCTACTATTACAGTAGGCACGTAAAACTGGTAGGTGTTTGTCTATGAACAAAGACCATGGTCAATTTGATTGTAGCTAATCAACTTTTATAAGAAAGATGACAGTTTTTCAAACCCACTGGCTACTGGCCTACGTTCAAGCCATATACAGACTTTCTCGAGTCTACAAACCTTTCCTTTACCGTGAGTCATCAAAACTGGAGGAAGCCCATGTATAACCTCTTACATTGAGGTCTCCATGTAGGAAAGCATTGTCAACATCAAGTTTGGTGCAGGAACAGTTGTTTGAAGCTGCTAGGTGCAATGAGCAATCTTACTGTGGTTAGTTTGGCAACAGGGGAAAGTATCAAGATAGTCTATCCCTTCCTGTTGTGTGTAGCCTTTTGCTACAAGTCTAGCCTTGAACCTCTCAATGCTTCCATCAGCTTTGTATTTTGTTTTATACACCCATTTGCAGCCTATGGCAACCTTCCCTGGAGGGAGTTGAGGTGAGGACCCAGTATCATTATGCTGTAGGGCTTTAATTTCTCTCTGCATTGCTTCTACCCATTCATTCATACCTCTTGCCTCACTGTAGGATTTAGGTTCCTTGCTAGCAGTGACAGCCATGGTATACTTTGGTGTGTCTCCCTGAAAGATTATCACGCGTAGTAGGTTGGATAGCGATAAGGGTGTTTGAGATGATTTTTCAGAGATAGGGATTGATTGACCTGAGTGGACATAACTCTTAAGATAGTCAGGAGCTTTTCTGGGTCTGTTTGACCTTCTTTGCAGTTGGGCATTTTGATTGTCTCCTGCACTGTCACTGTTATCTTCACTAACAGTGACTGCTCTGCATTTTCTCCTCCAGAATTATCACGGCTCGACATGTATGTCATGTGTCTGGTGATATTGATCCCTTGGAGATCATTAGTGTGCTGGTGTGATCCCTTCCAGTGGGTGAATCAGTACTCTTGTCTTGCAGATTCGTATAAGGGAAAACATTTCATGGAAAACCACATTTCTACTTATAAAAAGGCTCTTTGGAGTTGATGTCAAGAACAGGTATCCTTGATACCGAGGTGGTTATGCCAGAAAGATAGCTTTTCTAGCTCTTGGGTCAAGTTTGTTTCTGTCTGTAAAGAGTAGAGAAAAACAACATCTAAGATTTGAGATTTAAGTAGGAAGGGGGCAAGTTATAAAGAAGTCATAGGGATTTTGTTGTTCAGAATAGGGAGTGGGTAACCTATTTATAATGTAGACAGCGTGACTAACAGCATATGACCAGTAGGAATTAGGTATATAGATTGAAAAGGAGGCGCACGGGTAACATTTAATATGTTTGATGTTTCCTCTTCAACAATCAGAGTTTTGTTCAGGGGTTTCAACACAACTCTTTTGATGATTAATACCATGCAGCTTATAGAAGTCAACACAATTAAATTCTGGGCCGTTATCTGACCTAATGGTTTTAATTCCTTTGTTGAACTGAGTTTTAATCTTGATTACAAAATCCTGTAGCAAACCCCTAGTCTGGCCTTTATTATTCATTAAAAAAATCCATGTGTGCCTACTAAAGTCATCAACTATGGTGAGGAAATACCTATGGCCGTGAATAGAAGCAGTACCAAAAGGGCCCCATATATCACAGTGAACAATATCAAAACAGCTTGCAGTAACAGTAGTACTTTGCAGAAAAGGCAACTTTCGTTGTTTTGCATAATGGCAAGTGTCACAAACAGTATTAGCACCCAGTTTGACATAAGGAAAAACATCACATATCTGTTTTAGAACTTTGTCCCCTGGGTGACCCAATCTACAGTGCCACAGTTTTACATTGGTACTATTAAACGAAAAAGCAGTCTTGGTTGTACATTTATGATCAGGTTTAGAAATGTCTTGCAGATAATAGAGCCCTCCCCAACAACTAGCATATCCAATCATCCTCAATGTATGTTCCCTTATCTGGCAAGTCTTGGATGAAAAAGTTAGACTACAATTCAGGTCTTTAATAAGACTTTGACTGAGATTAAATTGAAATGAAATTCAGGAATATATAGAACATTGTAAATGACAAGATCCTTAGATAGATTGTAGTGACTCCAGGCATGTTAGCAGTGTAAGACAGTGTTATTAGGGAATCTAACAGATATGGGTTTTAATTTTGTAGACAGATACTAATCCATTTTGTCATGTGTCACGTGGTCAGTGGCACCAGTATCCAATAATCCATGAGGTATTACCTTGTTATGCTGCACTGTCAGCCCTCTGAATTTGATAATCT